ATCCATCCTGTATCCATCCATCCTGTATCCATCCATCCATCCATCCATCCATCCTGTATCCATCCATCCATCCATCCATCCATGCATCCATCCATCCCTCTATCCATCCATCCACCCCTATCCGTCTGTTTGTTCATTGTTCTTTTCGGATACTACGATAGTCTAACCTACGTGCATGAATTTAAGAGCAATGATTACTAATTATTACCATTTTTACTGGTTTTTGCATTGCTGTCATTGCAACTGTCTTGTATCTTACGTATATGACAATTTTTTGTAGCTGGTAAATCGACCTTCTGCAACAACCATCTCACTCAATTGGGCTACGTAATCATAAGTAGGGTAAGTGGAAATTTTTCAAGCAGCGCTTGTGGGGAGATTTGTTGATAGAACCGGAATTGTAGAGCCAGTACAATAGGCGGGTCGGGCCTGTGTGAATCTTTAGTCAAACAATTAAGAATGCCCTTTATTGGTCTATGATGAAACAATCTTGAAGCCACAATCTTAGTATTTTTATTTTCACGAGGAACGAATTATGATGGGAACTTTCGGAGTGGTGATGATTGATTGCTAGGCTCTGCACTAAGCCGGAAAGAATTCTATGGAAGATCTAGAGTTATGGAGGATCTTTATGTAGATGGACATAAGCTGTGTCTCGAAGCGTGGAATTGCATTGTTACATAGACATTCTGGGAGCTACTATTCCGTTGGCAGTAGCATCACTGCACAGGGATTTTTTTTGCTTTCCCTTTTTATTTAGGACGTTCTTAAGGATATGAAGAAGTGTGTAGCAAGATGTGAACAGTTGCTGAAGGCCGGATCCTCTGTTGTTGTTGACAATATTAACGTGACTGCAGCATCAAGGGAGCCCTTCCTTAAAATCACAAAGTCTCTTGGAGTGCCGGCTTTCGCCTGCGTCATGCAGACGAGTTTGGATCATTGCAGACACAACGAAATGGTAAGTTGGAGTGGCGGCATCTTTTTCAAATCACTTCCTAAATTTGAAAAGTGTACGTAAAAGGAGTAACTGTTGTGATCAGGGGGCAATGGCATTTCAAAATGCTTTTTTCTTCACCAAGTATGCCCACTCGTTTGATGGAGGTTTGTGGAATGCGTTGACTGACATGAAAACTAGTCAATATCAAAATACACGTTGACTGATGCATCGATGAAATTGGGATAGATCTGTAGACCACTAAATTGATCGGTGGATCCAGAATTCATGAATGACATTATGACACGAGGGGTCGACTTCTTCGGCCATGGAAGAAAAATTGTTGAAGCCTGATTCAAGTAGCTCATGCTGGCCAAAGCCTACTTTATCAGCTTCTCTAATGCCCTGTTTTGGTTCAGGGGATGCTCACAGTCTTGCATTATCGTTGCTGCTTATTATCAACGTTCTTACGTTTAGGAAGAAGTACTGATTTATTGGGTATCTTGGTGGTGTGTACAATTGCAGACTAAGCATTGTTCCACCTTTCCCCGTCCGGTTAGTGGATAGGAATTGAGTGATTTACTTGCCCTCCTTTCAGTTTCGACAGCTCACAGACAAGAATCACAGCAAGATCGGTAGCATTGTCTTCAATCAAATGAAGTACGTTTTTTATTGCCTGTATTTATTTGTTGAAAAATAGGTTTCCTTCCTTGCCTCTTTGCCACTTAGGAAGCATTACCAAACACCGACGAAGAATGAAGGCTTTGAGGAGATTTTTGATGTTCCCTTTGTTCCCGACCTCCGGTTTGATCCCCAGCGCAGTCTGTACTTTCAGTACCTCTTGGAGAAGTGAATGCAGTCTTTTCACTAACTTCAGCCTCTTTTTCATGACTGTATCCTTTTGGATAAGAGAACCTCGTCTTGCAGAGTACGTTTCTGCATCGAATTAAAGCAAACGAAGGAATGAGGGTATTGCGAATTTAAAGCAGGGAAATCTACCAGCATGCCACACTTCGTCGAGAAGGGGTGGGAACGCGGTCCACTTACAGGCTTGCTCCGTGGGTTGCATACACTTTCGCAATCTGAAGACGTTTAAGGATGCATTTTTTGGAGATCCATTTAGTTCGAGAAGCGGTAGCCACTCGGCTGCAGATCGAGAAGTCGCTTTTGCGTTTTATTCAGGTAGTAACTTTAGTTGGGTTACAAAACTGAGAAATCGGATAAGGCCCCGATTGGGGTGTGATTTCGTTATAAATTTTAATTTAGGAAATCACCTATGTTGTGGTGCCTCCAGATTTTGCTTAACTGTATGATTACGCGGACGTAGATTGTAATTCGACTTCAACAGGGACTTCGGACCAAACTGATAACCTGCCAGCTCTTCCGTATAGCAGTACTTTGGGTTATTACTCCACCGAAGACTGGGGAGGTGCATCGAACACCAATTGGCGAACAGATTTGCAAAGTTTGTTTTCTATAAGTTGTGGATTCCTCAAGGATCTGTGGTGATACTATTATCTGGATTGCTTGGAGGAGTATAATATGAGGGAGGTTTTCAAGCGTACTTGTCGAAGTAGTTCAGCGCTCTAGTCCCTTTCCCTTATGATCTTTATGCATTTTAACTAAAAACATCGATCCATTACAAATGGGTGAAATCTACAGTGCAGTGTTAACATCGAATACATACCTCGCTATTTATCGCACAAATTAATCAGAATTATACAAGTTGAAGAGGAGAGATATTAAGTGTTCAGTTGAAGGATAAGAAGCCACAAACCATTCACTTGAAAGAAAGCGCAAAATTTTCTTGGAAATGGGTATAAAGTGTGCTAAAATGTAAATAAGCCACTATACAGTGGAAGTAGTGTTCAACCTAATTTACAAAGTGCTTCAAATGCAAACACTAAGCAAAGTATATTAGGTCCTGGATACTTTCTTGCAGAAATAGAATGTCGCTGCTGGCAAATGTTTGCGTAAATAGGGCGTACATGTTTAAAACCAAATATAGTGACTACTATCAAGTAATTAATTTTTAAATTTTATACAAAGTATGCTTTAAATACACCAAAGGCTCTTGTTTTAGCTAACGCATCTGGCGTGTGTGATTGGGTACATTCAACGTGACGGGGTGGTGTTTTTTCCTTGATTGCGGCGTTTTTTTTTCGATGTTGGCAGACTAATATGCAGGTTGTGTTTGCCGCCTGTTGTCGTCGTCTGCAAAACTGATTTCATGATTTTTGCACGGAACGGGAAGTGTTCTGTGATAGGGTTGTGGCACACTAGTTTGTGCATTTCTGTAGCTGTTACGAAGTAGCCACATAGGTACATGCACAATTGGATATTATGTGTTACCTGGGTGGGTGTGTACAGTTTGGTCCTTGGACTCCTTTTTGCGGCCTTAAGCTAGTGGAGTGGGATGATTGGAGTGCTTGGAGGTTGTGGAGTAGTTTGTGTACGGGGTCATGTAAACAGGAATTTGCTACTCTTTTTTCCTCTTAGGTGCCGTCGATTTATTTTGGTGCTAAATTTGGTGCAAGAAGATTTCATATCAAATAAATTGTTTAATATCGTTCCATGGACTGTTCGGGTCGTGATGTTTTTTGACAGGTGCATGCTTCCAGCGCAGGCTAGATGTTTCTACGTTTGCTCTGTCGCATGCAAGATCTATTGAATCCTGTTTGAGCCTGGCTAGTCGTCGGGATTAGGGGGATTCTTATATTTTCCTAAAGATCGTCGGGCACGCAACCAGTGCAAAGTAGTTCATTACCTTTGTTTAGATGCGTGCAAAATGGAGTGTGTCCTGTACTGCTTGGGCAGATGCTTCTGTCTAAGAATGGGTGGATATGCACACGTTTCCTGCCTTGGTGGCTGGCCGCAGTTTACCTTCACTTGGTGACCTGCGGGAGAGTGGTCGATCAGGACAGGTCAGGGTTGGTTTTAACTCAACCCTCTAGGATTCTGGCACATCATTGTACTGCCAAGTGAGGCTCTCTAGCTTTGCAAGGTAGTGGCGCTTTGGACCCTCTCCTCGTGCGCATGATTAGCAAGTTGAGGTCATTATGTTATGTCAAACTTGCCCACTCCTCACGCGCTTCCGGTGAAGGGTGTAGAAAGAGTTAGTTTGTTGCGGTTGACCGTAACTTCAATTGGAGTGTGTCGGGGACGCAAAGGGGCGTGGCTTTGCTGGTCTCTGCGAGATTTTAGGTAGCTGGGCGCGATCGTGCTAGCTCTTGGTGAGGTTTGGTGCTTACCTGGTGGTGGCTCAGCTCTCGTGGTTCCGTGTGGTTTGTGGTTGCTGCTGTACCCGTTCCGGGGCTGCGCCACTGGTCGCGATTGCGCCTCGCCGAGTCATTACCCACCCTCTGTCTGCATTCGTACAGCTGAAGATCGATCCACTACGTGACTCGCTGAGCTGGGTTTCACTGTAAGGTGGGGTGTCACCGGTGAATACAAGGTGTAGGGTTTTCACATTCTGCTAATCTCAGTCATGAACCTGGGGCCTGGAGAACGATGAGCTCTGCCCTCCGGAGTGTTTGCGTTACCACTATCGCCGTTTGTGTGGTTGGTCTCTCCTCCGTCAGTCGGCAATGCAGAGCTTTTACTGGGCCTGTGAGGACGTTTACCTGCAGCATACGAGGGGCTGGACTGCTACAGATTTTGGCTTGGTTTCTGTTGGCGATATAGTCGTATTGGTACCACTGTCGGCGTGGGCTTCTAGAATAGTTTGGGTTATTCATAGGTTGGGAGGGAGAGCTGCTGCTACCCGACTCTCGGTACATGTGCTAGTCATCCATCAAGCTCAACGTGCTTTAGTATTTTGCAACAATGTGCGGATTGGTAAAGGTCTAGAGTTCACGGGGTGCTTGGATGCTCTTGGTGGTGCTCTGGGATGTTTTCTGTTCATCGCCATCGCTAGGAGTTGTCCCACAGCCTAGGGGGAATGGCGCACTTTTAGGGCGGAAGGTGTGCTGTTTGAAGAATTACTTAAGCGTTATCGTGATTATTTATAGAGCATTGAATGCAGTTAGGGGAACGATGGTACGTTGTTGATACTAATTTTTGTCCGAAGGATTAGGGGAGGACCGGCTATGCTGATATTTCTGTAGTAATAAGGGGCCACGCTAATCAAACAAAGAAAGTCTGGTAGACTATTAAAAACACTCAGGGGGTTTGCTTGTGAACAGAGTTAAACAAACTACGTAATCACCATAATACATCGTGAGCATCCGTTAAATAATCGTAGGATTAAATTCCTACTTAGCCAAACGGTTGAACAGTTTTCTTTGTGCATTTATAGTTGTAGCAAATCCTGTTTGCAACTGCGGCATTAAAATACGGCATAATGCCATTTTGACTTAATCAGCTAATTATTTTCAACTATTGAATGATATCGTTATTTGACCTTGACTTAGTCGTACCAGCCGCTGGGTTGCTGTATCTAGGTCTAGCGTTCATTCCTGAGTAGTTGTGGTATGAGCAGTTGGATGGAAGGCTACTCTCCTCTTTGTTTACTGGGGTTTCCCAAAGTTGGGAACGTTTTTCTCACCACTTTAGGCCATATTGTTTTAGTCAGCTAGTGTATTTTCTGAGAGCGACATCGTCTTGTCTTTTCTTTGACTAGTTTTGGTTAATCAGTTTATTTTCTTGTAAATTATTTTGTATTTTCAGAGAGTGCAATTGCTTTTAGCGCATCGCACCATACGGAGATGCCCGCCAAGTTATCCTCATACTTACTTTACGTTGCACTTACGACTGCATCATTTTATAATATCGGCATGAATCGTTAGGTTTCTGTTCATAATTAAAACACTTCCTTTGCAGACCTAATAAGATTGTGCACCTCGTAAGTAGCTCTTTTCATGTCGCTTAACCCTGAATTACGGAGTTTATAAGCTGTAGTTTTTAGCCAATAGCGCGTCGGCTGCTGAAGTTTTGTCGCTTTTAGTTTGCTCTACTCCTTTGGCCATGCAATCGATGATACCGAAACGCGAAATCGGTGCTCTCCAATTCCTTAAAAGCAATCCCGAGTACGATGGGCGCGGTACTGTCATTGCTATCTGGGACACAGGAGTGGATCCTACTGCCCGAGGGCTTCAGATCACCTCGCACGGGGAACCAAAAATTATCGATTTCATTGATGCTAGCGGTTCTGGAGATGTAAATATGCTGGCGACCTTTAGAATCACCGATTCATGGAGAACCATCACCACTTTGACCGGTCGTGTTGTCTCTGTAAGTGGCTTCCCTGTGCGATGAGTAACATCGTCCACCTTCATGTGATGGTGAGGCACTGCAGTTTTCCGCAGATTCCACGCCATTGGAAACCAGCAGACGGGTTGATTCGTGTCGGTGTGAAATCGGCTGCGGAAATCTTTCCTGCAGCCCTATTGGACCAACTTCGAGTGGAGACAGCGGATCGTTACTGGCGCCCAACGATACAAAGACTCTGTGATTATCTAAAAGAAGCTTCTAGCTCTCCACCCACACAAAATATCTCATTACCGAATCCAGTAACTAATGAAGATTCTGCTGCTGATTGCAGATCTGGTAAGTGTCCAGCTTAGTATTTTGCCTCTTTTGGGCTTTAGTGGCATAGATTTCAAATGATTTCGCGGTTTTGTTTATTGAAATAGCTTGTTATTCTGAGTAAAGCTATTTGCTGATTGATTTAACGTTCATCTTTGGTTGACCACTAATATTAATACCCAAAGGCTCCACTTTGCTGCAGACTGATGCCATGGTTGAGTGCTTGGAGTTAGCTTGCTGATTCACCAGACGTTTCGGAGGTGTCTTAAATGGATCATCAGTAACAAGTTCAGTTATTTACTGTACTAATATCCCGCTCCATCCTGAGGTAATGTTACAAGTATGTGTATGCTACTCTTTGTTAAAGTACTAGACGTTTCTCTTCAAAAGTGTATTTATCCTCTTATCGCCTAGACCATTAGCATCCAGAAAAGCCCACTCATGTAAAAAAAACTACGTAATCCCCTGTTTCATTTGCTTTAAGGCAGTTTTCTATTGATTCGGCAGGCGTATTCTTTTTATACCTAAAGGTTATCTTTTTTGAGTGAAAAAGTCAGTTACAAGATGTCTAGTTTGAGTAACATTGGACTTGCATGATTGTGGTAGACTACTTGCACGCGGTTCTAGAGCACACAGCATATCTGCGCACAAGAACAAGTTGATTTAATAAAACAGAGTTTTGCGTCTTGATGAGATCTACCAGTACAACTGAGGTAAGGGGATTGACTTTAATTCAAAGTTTAAAACTTTTATTATTGAGTATGGTTTTTGACATGAAAATACCGATGCAGTCGCACAAATAGCTCCAAAAATCGGCATGAGAAGTGGTGTGGCGTGGCTTTTTAGTAAAAATACGATTCCTTGATCAATTTTTCAAAAATTCTTGTCCTATTTTTCTACCTAAGGCTGTATTGGTGGATGAGTGACTGAAGGAAGCTGCGATATAGGGTGTTAATTTTAATGCAACTTATTATAGAATATGTGGCAAATCATGACGTCAAAGTTGAGTGAAATGAAACGCTTGCATACTCAAGCTAACTGGGTAGCTGGGTAAATTTTGTCTCATGAAGTAACCAGGCATTAGGGTAAAAAAGGGTCGCACAAACATTCCATGGTTCCCTTCAATTAATTGTGGTAGATTATTTTTGACAATCTTAAGAGGTCAGCACAATAGGTGAGTTGACGTTATGTGCGGAAGCAAGTAGCCTTAAACTAAAAGCTACTTGTATCTGCTTCCAATTGTCGTTGCCTGTTACAGTTCTCTAAGAAATGGTACTTTTTTTATCGTAAGTCATTTCATTCACCAGAAATTTTACCATGTTTCACATATTGGAAGGATTCTTGTCAGGTGCAAAGGGCTTTAAATTTGATTAGATAAGGCTCAAAAACGTTCTTTCATTAGTTGGTTTGCTCTGCTGGGAGATTACTACAAAGGGGACAAAAACGACATCCCCTGCACTTATAAGTTGCTGCATTGCTTCTTGCCTAATACAAGCATACTATATATCCCTGAATCCACGGTTGTACTTCTCGGGTTACTCGATCCTCTAGGCCAAAATATATAACACCGACATTCTCTCTGCAGTTGATGTCCTGTGCGATAAATATTATCATCATTAAAATTCTTGGGCATAAACAGGCTTGTCAGTGGGATGGATTCAAGATGAATGGATGGGTGGATTAATGGAAAGACTAAGAATGGTTGAATGGATGAGATCTGGATGAATGATTGGATTAGGAATAGATAGATTAGGTATGGTTAGGTGAGACAGTAAATTTGGGTTAGACGAACGAATAGGGAATGGCCAGATGAATTAGTGGATACGCAAAGAAAAAACAAACAGATCGACTAAAGATGAATATCTGAATGATATGACGAAAAATAGATGAGTAAATTACAAACAGAAAGAAATCAATTGAATTTTGGTGACGAAGAGCTCCAAAAATTGGCATAGCGTTTTTCTTCCTTTGTAGAAAAGAGTCAGACCGATCGAAATGGAGCCTCGTCTGCGGTCAGCTTCGTTTCCTGTAGGGAGGAAGTGGAGGAGCAAGAGAAAGAGCAAGGCGAAGTCGGTAGGGAGGGGAAGTCAGAACTGAAGGTTCCCTCGATTCGCCCTGGCGCTGCGCCCAACTTTGGCTCCTTTCGGGAATGGTTGGATTCTGTTGATAAGGTGAGTTCTAGTATTCTCTTTGGAGTCGGGATTTAGTCCATTTATGATGACCTTTTAGAGGTAGTTTTGCGGCCCATTAAGGTAACCTCTGCTGTGTGCTGAGGTTGAGAATGAAACAATCTCCATGGCCTTGGTAGGAAAGCCTCTGTTTAATGGTGATGCTGGGTAAGCGAACGGATAAGCTCCAGCTAGATGGACAGTTCACGAAATGGGTAGATAGACATATGCATGACTTGGTGATTGGAGGGATAAATAGCTGGATGAATAGATTAAACTGAGTGACGTAGGATATGTGGATAGATAAATGAATGAGAGTAGGGATCAGGGAAGTTTCGATTTATGCATTGGTGCATGGACAGGAATGGATGGACACATAAAAGATGGATCTATATATTAGGAGAGTATGAATTAACAAGCCACGGGTAGATGGACCCGGTGTGATTCGAGAACGGATGGTTCGATTAAGACCACGAGAATGCGTCGATGGATCAAGGGTGGACAAATAGGTAAATTAGTCAAGGAGGTAGTTGTTTTAATGTACTGACGGATAAATGGATGGGTGGTTCATGGGCTGATGAGCAATTGAATCTTGTAATGGGAAAGTGGATTATTAGATGGATAGATGGATGTTTGGAATGGTTGGTTGGCTGCATGAATGTACTGGGTAAAATGGTTTGATGGCTGTGTAACTGGATCATGGAGTGATTATTATTGATGGTGTCAATCAGCTCTCCCTGCCCACATTTTTTGTCCGATATGTGACTCGCTGATACTTCCTACTGCACCCTGAAGTAAGCTATTTTTTACTGGCATTACTTTGATTATGAAGTTATCTTTGCCTGCAATATCAGACGGTTTTCGTTCCCTTGGCTTGTCTATCAATAGCATGAAATGAAAAACTAATCAAATAAACGTTAGAATCTGTCTCTATGGGATCACAAAACTACTATGAAATAAATGAATTCGCGTTTAAATAAGTCCAAGAGCGATAATGGAAATCGGTAAGGAATACTCATATAATTGAAATCATGTACTAATTTTATGTTCCCTAGATGGCACGCAGCGAAAATGATACTGTTACATTTCGAAGAATGCACTTGTCCCCGTTGATATTCGCAGTTACTAAAATTTTATGCTAAAAGGAATCACAAGGATGTAATCAATTGCGCTATACAAACTCCATTTTAAAAATGCACCTGTCGAATGAAAAAATTACTTCGGGTGTTTTTGTTGCGCAACATTCGAGTTTAAACTCTATTATTACGCATAACAATTAGTTTTGAGAGACAAATTATTCAAAATTGAGCTATCTTTAGATCTTTCAATTCTGAATGAAAATGAATGGCTATATGTCCTTATGAGTTATTTTGCTGAGAGTCTATAGGTACTAAACCACATTCTGGAATCGACGAAAGGGTGACAGTTTGTCAAAAGGTACTAAAAGTACCTTTTGCATTTGGTAGGTGGTTGGCAGTTTGACTGCCAGGAAAATAGCGGAAGTATGGACATCGCCGATTGGGACATACTTTCTTTGGGTTTCTTAGGTAAGGCATTAGGGAGGCTTCTGCAACTACGCGGCTTCTCTGGCAGTATCCAATTACAGAATATGAAAGTTTTTGGACTTCGGGTCAAACTCTCCTGCTATTACTTAGAACTTCAGATATTTGTAATTTGGTCAATTCTCTCAATGACTTTCAAATGTTTGTGGTAAACACTCTTACCAATATTAATTGTGCGCCCATTGAGGCATTCGTCTGAGTGGTATGCAAAATGAGCGAAAATGTGGTTCTATTTCCCTCTCTTCCGATTTAAGACCAAGGACCTGACTGCATTGAAGGGAATGGAGCGTATTTTGGCCATGCTGAACGACCAGCAGGAGTACTTTGTGCCCGTTTTCGATTGCTTCGTTTTCAAGGGCGAGGATGGCGATTTCGTGTAAGTAAAGGTGATTTCTTATATTCGAACTCGGGCTTTAAGCATTCTGAGTCTACTCAAGCCCTTATGTTTATCGAAATATCCTTATTCATCCATCTCTATTCATCCACACTTTCTTCTATGAAATGACTCACGTATTCGTGATCTACCCATGTTTAGTCCCCATTGATTTGGTGCATAAATCTTTATCCAAATGTGGTTGCTTTCTTGGAATCCCCACCTAAGTCGCCGAATTTAATGTCAACGGAGAACTACCACTTCTTAGATGTTTCGTCGCAAGAATGCAATCCATCACCGTGACTCTCGCCTTAGCCCCAACAAGAGCAACATAGATGGGATTATTCACTGCTGCTTCGTAATCACCACTTAGTAAACTAAACTTCCCGTGCTTTACTGAACTATTTCATCGATGTGGATGTCTAATTCATTCAGTTACACCGTTGGGAAATCCAAGCTAATGGTTCCCCAAACAATTCCTTTCCAAAACAAGTATGTGTATATGGAGCCTTTCGAGGCATCCTTTTGCTGTCTTATGCCGCAGTTTTATGCAAAATTTTTAATCTGACCACTTGCTTTCTCCTGGAGCATTCCTTTATGGCTTTTACTTAACCTCTAATAGCCTAGCTTTCGCCTGTTTTATTAACTACTGTCAAGACTGTTCCCACTTATATTGCCCTTGTCTTAAACTTGGGGTTGACTTTGATCATCTGATTCCGGAGAGTATTTAAAGCACCCCCTACATGCGAATCCATCAACCACTCAAACTCTATGAATACATCGTGATGTTCGGTTTGGATCCTTTGAAAAGTTTCCGACTTCCCCGTTACTTGTACAGAAGTTTAAACATTTCCAATTGGGCTTATATATTCTGCAATAGGTAATGCATAGATTTGCTCAGAAGCATGTCTATGATATGGTTCATAAACCCCTACTTTACCCTTTGAAGACGTTATTGCAGAAGGGGTTATTGTGGATGCACTCAGGGATTGGAACACTGAAAGGGACCGATGGCATAATTACGGCTCTATATGAACCGGTGTGGAAATGAAATTACGGGCAGGCCGGCAATTCCGCCTTAATTTAGTGCATAATTAAAATATCACCTGGTCACAGCCTTCTTGCAGGCACTCAATTTTTCCTTAAGCCCAAAGATACGCCTTGTACTCTCGAATGACATTTTATTACAGGAGTAGAAGGTTAATAATCAGTCTTATTTTCTATCTCGTTGGCTTATATGCTTCGTGAGAACACTTCCACAACTGCAAAGTTTATCTCAAACCTGATTATTTTAATAATTCCTCATCTAAATTAGGCTTGATTGGGCGCCTTGGCGCAGGTTACTTTGAGGAGGGGCAGATGCCAAAGCATTACAATTAAATGATTTATGCGATTGAAAGCTTATGCGAGAAATACTTACTTTTTGAGCACAAAGTGGATAAGGGATTTATTTTCTATTTCAGTGCATGCGTGGACGTCAGTCCCTACGAGGAGACTCCTACGAATCTTGCAGACATGCCGTTATTAAAGGACTTCAGCATTGGTCGACAAGTGGCTCACTTCGGCAATGACAGTAAGTGTCATCCCGCCTACTTTCATAGGAGCTTTCATCAGGGTCTTCAATCGATCCTTCCATTCCCCTGTTGCAGCCCTCCTCTACTTTACCGTCAAGATTCTTGACGGGGGGAACCTTCTCCAGATAGTAACGAATTGCGGTTCCCATGGGACTCATGTGGCAGCAATTGCGGCGGCGTACTTTCCGCCCTCCGAGAACTGCAAAGATGACGAAGCCTCTAAATCCTCCCATCTTCCAGAAGAAGCCAGTCAGAATGGCGTGGCACCTGGAGCTCAGATAGTTAGCATCAAGATTGCTGATACTCATCTGATGGGCATGGAGACTAATACGTCCCTCCTTTGTGCTGTACGTCGTCTGCCTTTGCGGTTTGGTTATTTGCTAGAGATCAGAAGTATTTGCAGAACAATAGTAAGGCAGTAGGTAAGATTCAAAAGGGCATTATAATCATTGTGAATGTCGAACTGGACTGTAATTAAAATAAGTCTCAACGACTTGCAGAGACTGTTGTTTCCCAGTATCGTATACGGCGCTGCCTGTTTGCTCACCCGGGTGAGGAGAATGGATTTAATCTGACTAACGTGCATCTTTCTGAACTAGCAGTAATTCCTCTCAAGACTTTTTACACAATTCAATTACTACTTCATTTGTTAAGGAAATTCCACTTGAGGCTGAAGGCTGGACGCCTACATTCAATATGAAAGTTTACTTGGTTTACTTTGATGCTTTGATATTCCCCACTTGTCTCTGTGATTTTTACCTACCAAATCTTACACCTCCCTGTAAACTCAGGTCACAATGCTATTCTGAAATGCGTTGTTTTCACGCCTCATGACTGTCGGCGAACATCAGTTGGAACATCGTCCTTTCCTGAAGGGTTGTAGAAACCATTTGAGCGATCTTGACTTACCATGAGAGTTTTACATTACTTCCACGATGTGTATTATGTTTACACTAATGCATGCTATTTTTTCAGTTAAATTGGACTACCAAGCTAAAGTGTGACATCATCAATTACAGTTTTGGGGAGAAATCCTTTCTGCCGAATTTCGGGTGAGTTTTTCCTCCCCTTATTTCCACCCCACGCACATACGCGCCTGCTCAAACGCACATGCACGTACGCACCTATACACGCAGTCATGCACCGATTTTGTTCCCCTATCACCCCATAGACGCATCTACACTCACCTGACACAGTTCGTGATGCACACCAACGTGGCCTTCGTCACCTCTGGGGGTAACGGCGGACCCGCTCTAGGCACTGTGGGCTCGCCCGGCGGTGCTGTTGATGGTCTAATTGGTGAGTCATTGGAGCCTTACCTTTGGTTTACCTCTTAGAGTGTCATAAGGCATTACCACCCTAGAAGTAGATTTATTATAAATAGACGCGTTGGGAGGCTTATATCCCAGATGACTTGAGTAGAGCTGGAACAATGATTTTACGCCGCTTCTGCGAGTCATGATTGCGAATTGAATTTTAAATATTCGTTTTGATGCTCTGCTGAAGGCTGTATTCTACGCCAATTCCCTTTGCGTGGAAATATTTGCCCCAAAAAATTGCTTAGTAATCTTAATGTTAAGCAGTACCTTGGAGATATTCTGGTTTCACTTCATCGTTGTTTTTTTTTTGTCCATTTCATTGTTTAGCAGCTCATTCTGGCTGTTCCCAGCTATTCACGAAGTGGGAGGGTGTACATTTTTCACATGGCACTTGGCATTCAAGTCTGATCTCACTTTAAATGTCTGCTCAAACTTGACATGAGGGCAGCAGCCAATGGTCAATAATTTTTGTCTTGGTAGATTCCACAAAGTCAGCCACCCACAGCGGATAGTCATGAATATAGCGCTAAAGCATTGTATCTAAGCGGTGCAATCGAGATCTCCGAATTAAAACTGTTCACTGCCGGTACCACGGATGCCCTTAAATTATTCCCGGAGCCCTTCAACGACATTACTAGTCTGAAAGTCTGGGTTAGGTGACAAGCAGCCCATGGAGCCGAAATTCCGACAGAATAACGGGAGTCTGAAAAGTCCCGTATAGTCACATCTATATCTAAGGCAAAAACCTTCCTGTCACTTCTCCAACAGGCATAGCAGGATTAGTTGAGGGAGAGTTGAGTTGCATTGACCTGTATCCTTTCCTTCTTTTTTGTCTAACAACTGATTTTACTTTCTCCCGATGGTTTTCGACTTCTGTGGCTTATGTTTAAGTCGCCTATTATGTTATCACCTCCAGATTTTTCCTTTTTTATTTCAAAATGCGGAATTGGCTTTTGACAGAGATAATCCATTTGATTGTGCTGCGCTGCTTCTTTGTAAAATGGCTCTAGTTGATCAAATGAATTTAACGTTAGAGAAACGTAATTTAAATTGAATAATATGCTACTTAGGTCAAAGTATCTTCAAACAAGCTTTACCTTAAACTGGTGTCATTTAATTTTATCCCTGCTTCAGGGATAAGGAAGCCAATTATCATTTAAGATCGTTCCACTGTAGCACTTCACAAATGAATTGTAAACTAACAAAGTGGGCTGCTTACAGTGACTCTGAATTGGAAATGCTTTAAATTAAAAAATGAATTAACATTGATAATATTTGATTTTCCCATCTTTGTAACAACTTGTGAAAGATTTAATAACTCGGAGGTCGCATTGGAAATATAACCTAACCGCGAAAAGTACTGATAGCGTCTTCCTGAATTGAATAGCATTATTTAGGCGACCCGCGAAATGTCTTAAGGTTAAAATCACCAAGATGAATCATTTCACAGAGGGAGAGACCAACCAAGTATTCGGTGTTTTCATTCTGGTTTCAAAATTGAAAACAGCTAAATGTTTCCTTGAGGCTAAACAATTTCAACATTTAAGTATTTTCACTTCAATTGCGCTCAATCTCAGTCAATTTTCGCTCCTTTCTAGGTGTAGCTCCCCTCCTGTTCCCCAAAATGATGGAGTACATGTATTGTCAACCAACGTGGAACATTAATTGTAGCAACAACAAGAACAATGAAAATACAACTGTACACAGTGTACGTCGTTACTTATATGCTTTTAGCAAAGTTTCGTACTACTCTTCCAATGCACCTTGACTCCGTTAGTACGTGCAAATGCTTGTTTACGAACGGTCATGGTGACTGTGATTCGGTGGCTGATTCACCTACTTTTAGGTACTTAAGTCTATGAAGCTTTGATCGGTTTGTTCATGATGATTAAGAAGCATCTAAAGCCCAGACGCTTTCGGTCATTGCGATTATGTAAATCATCGGCGAATCAAACCCCAAGGCATCATGTTTGTAAGTGATTCGTATTGTTTCAGGATATTGTTGCTGACCCCAGAACCATTTCCAGCGACTCAGCCAACGAATTGACCAATCCCATGCCCTCGGCCTACACATGGGGCTCCCGGGGGCCTTCACCCGATGGGCATATAGGACTTACTGTCGCGGCTTGTGGAGCCGCCGTGGCTGACGTCGCGGCATGGAAGTGCAGTGCGTTTGACCTTCTCAATGGCAGCTCTATGAGCAGTCCCTCAGTGGCTGGCGGTTTTGGTAAGTTCGGTTTATTTTTCAACATCTGCGATTGTCAAGGCTGATGTTCGAATAAGGTGTGGTGCCTGAGTTTTTCCTGAAGATAATCACAACAGCAAGGCATACGATTCTGCAAGTACGGGGGGAATGGAATACTGGTGGCGTGGATAGTCTCGGGGTCGAATATACAGAGAGAGTACGTATAATCCCAGCACACAGCCCTTATTTGGTCTCCGACGCTCCCATTGGCCATACTCTCCCTTCAGTGATTAAAAATCTCCCAGCGACCTATAATCAACCACCGGACACGAAAGGTGATCATATGATAAATGCTCATTTTGTTCCACATGTTGCATTCCTTGCTGCGTCTAGATGAAATCCTTAAACATTTTGGCCTCTTTTGGGCAAACCGAATATCAGAGAGGTTCATTTAGGGAGTAATTCTAAAGGCCAGAAAGTGGTCTACAACAAACATTTTGCAAGCCGTGGGACTTGCATAGGAACGTTTGCCTAAAAGCAACACGTGCGAAGAGATGGTATCGTGTTCTCAGATCATGATCATAAAACACAGATCGTAAAAATGCTATAGTCAGTTCTGCAGGGCTGTTTTTATTCATTAAACCAGGATCTCGCTTCAGCGCTGGGCATAATTTGGAGTTGAAGACTAAGGTATTTCCGAAAAATGCGATGCCACTTCGATGGCTTTTGTGCCGAGTTTCCTCAGTTTCGGCTGTCCGCAGCCGATGCCTTTTTTCTTTAATTCTTTGATGTAGCAATCATTATGTGCGCTGCCAGGTGTACAAGCCTTCAAGAATCTTCATTATGCACGCATAGGAAGGTTCTGACATGAGCGGAAAGATATACCCCTTTTTTTTAGATTGGGTATTTAAGCATTCAATTCAAAGTAAAATCCCTCTGCTGGGAAGGCATGCGGCTCTGATCACGCTGTTTACACTCATAGTCTTTCATCTCTTCTTTGCATCATTAATACGGTTAGAACTTTAGATATTCTCACCTTACCATGTCCTTACTTGTGAATCGGCTGTCGCTTTAAAAGCAGTAGGCTAGTGATTGAAGTTTTTCACCCCAGCAACTGCACTTCTTTACACATTAACGGCATGCGTTTAACTTACCAATTAGTTACATAAAATGTGGTTAACCTTCCATTGTACAGATAGAGTTACTGTCAGTACCTTGAATTCTATTCAATGAATTTTCAAAAATTGTACTGAAATATCGCCTCTTGTAAGTTGTGGTCGATCTGCCTGCCATGTCCTGTTTGCATATTGCCAGGTTTATCTGAATGAAAAACCATTTGCTGAAACTTCCAATTTTCAAATAGAAACCCACTGGTTCAACTGACTGATCATTAACAGAAAATTCGTGGTAATTATATCAAAATGCCGTAGAAGGAAAAAAAAAACAATGAACAGGTGCGTCAGGGTTCCTCAAGATACGATTTTCTTAACTCAGAAGATTGTAGTATAGCTTCATTAGGCCGTTTTTCAGTCCTGTGAACTTGGAGCATTTATGAATAGACAATGAGCGTAGCCCTGTCCCATTAAAAATTATTTTCTCAGGGAAATACGTTCAAAGTCTGATATTTAAAATCATGTTCCAGTAAATTACGGGAGCATCTTGACCTATGGGATGGGTGTCATATTCTTGCGTAACCAATCATTGCACCACTGCAAATTCCATTGACACGATGATTCGTTAACTCAGTAACGTTCTACGTGTGATGCTTTCTGCAATGGATGCAGTCAATTGTCACCGTTTATATTCAGTTACGTCATGATGCATATTCTAATCGACTGAAGCTTTCTGCACTATCGGGAATTAATTACCTTTAGATAGGACTTGAGCTGACCATATTCCCACAAAACGATTTACTCCCGATTACAGATGTGAGGAAGTTAATCCTCCTTTCCAATCTTTTACACAGCTCTGGTACTATCAGCCCTGCGTCAGAGCGAGTTCCAACCGTGCCTTCGAGTGCCCTTCATTCTGTGGCGAGCTGCAATCTTCGCCTGTGCAAAACCTCTCTCCCACCTCACTCCCTTGGAACAGGGGGCTGGGCTCTTTCAGGTGGAAGCCACTTACGAGTTTCTGCGGGACATCATTAGGTGCGTGTTGGTGTCAGTTTGAATTTTGATTTATTTGGTTGATCCGGTCGTTTTTGATGACGCAGTTCAGTTGAAATAATCGTCTAATTTGGTCCGAAGTTATCCAGCTCTTATTAGGCATTATTATCTTAACATGAAAGGAGGAGTAGCTACTTCTCGGTTAGTCGTCAATTGGACGTGGAAGTGTAGATCTACTCCTAGAGTGGCAAGTTGTAAAATGCACGGAAAATCCCACGCCATTGTAAAGGGTAGTTTTCATTAAATATGCTGGCCGTTGTGCATAGGACTTACCGAGGTCAATGTTCTTTTACCCTGGGCACATCTTCATTTGTTGCTGCAAAAAAATCAGTAACCTCGGTTTGATTTAGCAAATTAAATGTCAATGTCAAGCAGCCGGTCATAACCTGAACGATTGGTTCCATAGGGTCAACCATGTTGTGGCCCACTTTGTCTCTTGAAAGACACATTGGCCAGAGGACACAAGATGTATTTGTAGGCGAATCGACGGCATTAATTACAAAATGCAATCTAATTTAAGCCTATCAATTAATTTGCGGGACTGTTAATGAAAAGGGTTGTAATTCGAAATCTTCCCACAAATTTCAAAACTGCAATTAATCTTGCAAAAAACGGGTAACGAGAGCATCAAATTATGCAGAAAAGCAGTTAAGCAGAATGCATTCCCCCCCAAGCCCTTGGCCAGACAAGTTAAATGGTCAGAAAACTCGTTTCAGGCTTTATCGTTTTGAAAGATGAATGTTTAACAGTCTACGGGACTTTGATGGATTATAAGTGACTAACCGACATCCGTATTAAAAGCTACTTCAGAAATTGCATGACCTTCGGGGTCCTGAAGTGACGAGAAGTCATAGTACTATGACAGATATTAAAGGATTGGGAGGCTGTGCCGCCGAGCACGAGTACAATCCGCCGATTCTTCAGTGCTCTTATTGTTAAACAAACTGTTAAAGTATTACATTTTAGTAGGAGAGAAACTCATCCTTATGGCTTAATTTAAATTATTTGAAAGAGCTAAGTTCGTACCATTTTCGGTAAGCTCAGAACAAATCACCTCATCACGCAGATAGTGTCCTGCCCTTTCACATTCTAAGAAGTGATCGCGGTAATTTTTGAGCCATTTGAACCAAAGCTTTGATGTGGAGGATTAAAAATAACCGTCCATTACTACATTTGCATGTAAATATGGAGTAGGCAAAACTACCTTTCTCCGATGTCCAGTCAAGCTTCCTCAATTCTTCAAAGGGTGTCAACTTTTTGCGGCATTATCAGAGGATAGGTGGGTTCCGATCGCAACTCTATCTCCCTCCGACCACAAGCCGTCGGTACAAGATAGGCTTCGTGTGCCCGGGGCAAGATAAAAATACTAGAAAATGTGTTAAAATTTCCCCTGAAAATAGGATTTGAAATAAACGTATTGTGGGCATACATTGGTAAACTACTACATGCAACGGTGAAACACCTTCAAAATTGTATATTGTTTTCAGAAAAAAGGTTATGTGCTCGGAGGAGTTCCTATTGGCCGATATTTGGTCGATGGGAAAGGAGGGGAGATTAGTGTCCAATCAGAAAACTGGGATTTGTCTTTTGCAAAATCGTCCCATTTTCCGGTGTTTTTTACATGCTTCAATGATTTTATGGATTTCAGCTTTTTTACTATTGATCATCATCGTGCTATCATCATAAATACTTTATATTGGTTGTTTTTTGCATTTCTACAGGGTATTATGCCACTAAATATCTTCCATTGTAGTTTGGACCATTAATTTTTCTGCTTTAGCTGTTTTTTGAAATCACACGCCATGGAGACAAACTTTTACCATAAAGTTTTGAATTTTTGAACCATCGTTAAAAGTCACTGTTCAGTAGTAGAATTAGTGTTTTTGTAAAATAATCTTAGCTTCAGTTTACCATACTTTTGCTTACTATTCCATCAGTAGCTTTAACCTTCAGGTTCAAACAATTGCCATTTGTATCGGTTTTGTTTACGTTGGCGACTGGTAAAACCAATTCTCTAAATACTCACAACTGGACAAACCTTTTGAACCTAAATAGGAATGCACAACCAGTTCTGGTAATTTATCGATTATCTGCGGCCACTTTAGACGCCTTTGATATTCCACTAACAGACCCGAACCAGCCCTATCACCACCACTATCACCGGTTAATCAACTAGAGTCGCTACGAGCCTCAGGGACACCGTCAGCCCCGGCTGATGGTGGCCTTGCTCAGCTTAGCCGATTTTCAGGCTGGCGACTAAGCTGTCACGTCAGCGGTCCTGGATGCATTGTGGAGAACTCCAAGGGTCTTCACAGTCGTGGGATTTGGCTTCGACGAGGTTGGTTACCGTTCTACCACCACTGTAATGATGGTGTCCAGTCCGCTCCTCCTAAAATGTCCTACACTGTCCATCTGGAACCACAATTTTGCACTGTGAGTGAATTATTTCTTCTTTAAGCAATAAATAAATGCCCCGCCATAGTAGATAGTTGGGGTGTCATTTACTGGCGGAGGAATTGTAGTAATGCCTATAGGGTTCAGGTGGTCCTGTATGAAGACTCTGCCCCTAGATAGGAAAGAAGTCCATGCGATGATTTTGAATTAAGATGAAAAGACGTTACAACGATTACAATGGGTCTATCTGTATTGTCCTCAGTATAAACTTTTTTTGAGGACTCATTTGGTCGGTATTACTTAAGGTTATGCGACCGTCCTCAAGAAGCACAATCAATGTGCCAATCCAGATAAACAAATTAATGCCACCCGTACTGTAAAGGGCCCCCATTGGGCTGTGTTCCCTGGTATTTCTACCTACTTATTTATCATTTCTATGGCGCCCCGCCGCCTACACACACAGAGATGTTATTCGAATGGCTCTTTCCTCAGAAATTCCATGCAGATATTGCATAAATTTCTTCCACGGATATTTTCAAATTGTTCCAACCCGGTATCCCACCATTATAAGTCATTATGCAACAACAGAGGTAAAAGGCATTGACCAAAAGTTGGCGCGATAATGATGGCCCTGGCTTTGAGTTTTCACCGAATTAGCTATTAAGAATAGGTACTTCTTCTAAAATTCGAGTTCCTGGTTTTTTTTGAAGTGGTTTCGCTCACTGTTCTCACAAAAGTGGTACCCAAGCTATCTCCAAAGACGTTATGGAGGCTACGCGTGTGTAAGCGGCTGTGCTGTAGGCGCAGCATAGAGGTCAAAACGTAATAGACTGAAAAGGCTCACGTAGGTAAATGCGCAGTTATCATTCTGATAAAATTTAGTGAAGCAAACAGTTACGTAGCCTGGGCGTTGTTTTGTGCACAGAATTCGATGCTTCTACCATTTACTTTAACGAGCCTTTCTTTAATTGGGATGTGGATTTGATCTTTGTTAGGGGTTGTCACTTATTCGCCCATCTGCAGCATGCGTATTTCTTCCGCCCCGCTGTTTTATCATGCAGTAGTAGAAATCAGAATGGTTGTCCTTTGATATAGGGCTGGCTTTCTTCTGCCACCAAGGTAGCGCCCCAAGACTTTCCTGATGTTGAAAGAAGACATAATACTCGGGCAAAATATGTTTTGTCGACATGCAGTAGGGCTTGGGGCCACTGGCCTGGCCCGGAGGTCAGACCACCTGGCGGATTTGCAATGGCGGAGCACCAGTGGTCCGTTACCGAAACCGAGAGTTGGACAAGCAATTAGAGTATTACTGGTAGCTTCTTTTTCCGACTTCATAATTTGTTAAGGTAAACTGTGCTTGACTATTCATTACAATCTAAATAATGGACTTGTGAAATGTATTTTTATTGTGCAAATACGTAGTCACCACATAGGGAATCAAGTTTTGGAGGAGCTGCGGAAGGTTTTGATTGGCCAGAGATTTCATTCATTTGGGTTAAGTTTCTTTGGGAAAGTTATTAAATAGCTAATAACCAAATGACTGAAATTTATTCCTTACATGTACGTTTGCCACGTTTCTAGCAGAGTCGGATCCTGATTTCAAAAAATGCAGCTTTAAATTTATTTGTCTCACTTCACTAGAATTTGAATCAGATAATTTTATGTCACAATTTTCAACTCCCGTTAAAAATGCATTACCCAAATTCAAACAATCAATTCAACACTCCCTTTTCCTCCAGTAGGGTACTTTATTTTTTCCTAAAATTTTGGCACTTGATGATCGTCGCATCTCCGACTACATTGGTAGGTGTCACTTTGAAAAGTATGGGGTGTAAATGCTGCGATCTTCAAAATATTGTTTTGTGCGAAATCCTACTCAAAATTACTTTTCTAGCTATTTATTAACACCTTTCTGAGTTTTTCTTCAATTGTACAAGATATTCACTCAAAACACTTTCTTTTGGAGAAAGGCGTTGTGAAGACTCCCGTAACCATTACAGTTCCCCTGAGTGGTACTAGTTGGTATTTGAAGAATAACCCACTTTACGTTAGTGTAGTGCTTGGTTTATTCCGTTTCGAATCGTGTAAAGACCGTAAAAGGGATTTAATCTATGCATTGTTCAGAACAGCATCCATGTAACATAAATACGACCTTTCAATATGGACGCTTTCTCGGTGCTCTGTCTAATTAGCCTTTGCGTATCTGGTTTGACTTATGTGTTTTTACGTCGGAAATAATATTCTTAAATTATTTCAAAGGCGTTTTTATTATTTAACTGTATCCTATTTTGATATTGAGTAATGTAGGCTTTCCAATTTCGTGTTCATCAAATCTGTCCTTTGAACAAAACCGGTTGTTAGGCAGCACGTAATGGGTAATGGTAAGACATTAAAAAGGGGTAGGGATAGATTTTGGCTTAAACAAAGGGAATCTTTGACATCAAATCTTAGATCAAAGGAGGTTTTTGGAGGTCACTCATTCAGCAACGAGATCGGTACATTAAAGAACTACTTGGTAAGTGGATAAAATTGGCTTGAGCCTCTTGATTAGCCGTTCGTGAGAGAAGCGGTTAGGCTTTTGTTTAAGTCAGCTGGCTAAAATTTCTTACCGTCTGTGCTTTGTAGAAGGTAGGGCAATCTATTTGGTAAAGATTTGAGCATTTGCAACTTCTAAATGTCCGATGTAAGTATAAGGAAATAATTTTACGCGAAAGCTTAAACTCATCTAGGGAAACAATCGCGTCTATGATTCATCCGCGAACCCAAACGAGATAATACTATCGCAAATTCTAGTTCCATACAGCGCTATCTTCAGAAGCAAACAGCTCAGTTTTTAGCCATTCCACTTCCCTTTTAATTCTCTTCCCCCCACTCATGGGATTGTATAATGCCATGAATAGTTAATAATCCCTTTGAGCTTGGATAAATATTTTGGGCATATGGAGAATGAGAAGCGCATGTCTTTCTACGGTCAGTTTTGCCTCGTTTTTTGAGAATAGAGCCTTCTCTCAACCGATTGGCTGGTCCTGACTGTTTCTCGTGCATCTTTGGGCTGTATTTTAATGAGTACACAAGCTCTAGTCATAATTGATGTTTGGGGTTCAGGGGGGCAATAATTCTTGACGAACTATTCCGTCTGTAGTCTACTACGCGAAGGTACTGTAGTATTTTGGGCATGAAACGTGGGGTAGTAGGTAGGTCTCTTTCGATCGCTTAGCGATTTAACAAAAGCTGAAAAGCATTTCTTTTTACAATTTAGGTAGTCAGTAATCTAAAATGCACAGTGGGTTCTTATAACGTAAGCGAAATAATTTACGAACAGATACTCTCTGAAGCTGTCTACCATCTGTTAGTGTCTAGCTCTCACCACGACTTTCCCAGTTGGTGTAGGTGTGAAGGAATTTTTCTTCACTAACACTAAATACCACTGATTGTTGCTCCTGAAACGTTAATTTCGCAACTGTTCCCGAATGTGGCTCATTTATCATCGAGAGATCCATCGTCACGGGCACGTTTTTTCAACTAATTAATGGGTGGCGCGCCCTGCTACCGCACCTTCTTCAAGCACCACACGCATCATGTCTGATAGGTTTGATCGGGGTTCTATGAGGTAAGGGTTTAATGGATTAAATTGGGAAGAGCGCAACAGACCGTAGTACCCTGCTCATATACTGACCACATATCGATACTTTGTAATGGATTCATGTGAACAATCTCATATGTTTAAAAAGTGGTTACAATTTCACCACACTTTATTTGTTACAAAAATTTGATTAAAGAGTTGGAATTAATTAACATTAAACAAGCCAAATATGATCGCGGCTGACCATACTTATCTAATAATTCCTTTCGATGCACTGACCTCATAAGAAGTCGCGAGAACCATTCCCGACGATGTAGTGAAGCACGGAAGTTCGTTTACTGTCAAAGGTTAGGATATCTTGCGATTTACAAGGATAGACAATATTAGTAGAACTCTTCCCATTATCCCGTAGGTAGAATTTGAGGAAATGATAGGTAGTTAGGCGCAACCGATTAGATCCGCCGTTCCTTTGAAGACCGTCATTGCTACTCCTCTTGGGTATCAAAGGTAGCTGGGTGTTTTCTTTAACCGCCCGTAAGGCAAGAAAACAAGTCTTCTAATGACTTTCAGTCAAAATGAGGATGGATTCTCATGCATCTCGTAGGTTTCAATGGATTCGCCCATCACGTCCTCTTTCCAAACAGTTGTAGCGGTTTGTTTGCCTGGTGATTCTCAAGAACAGCCACTGTTTTTTGCCGCGTGCATTTAGTTTTTCAAACCCAACTCGTAAAAACTGCCTCAAAAGTGAAAAAAGTTTGTTGAATACATATTATTAACTAGCTCCATTCCTATTTCATCGCTGTGTACCTCTTCGGCGGTTATTTACGGCTTGCAAAGTATGAAGCCTCGACAGATTCAGTCATCCATAGCACATCGTTCTTCTTTTAGTGCATCCGTCTTAAGAAATTAGAACCATTGTTTGCCAGGAGTTGGTCCACTTATCACTGTCGCAAATGTAGTACCCAAGTTATTCCTGGAGGCACTATGAAGCATACGAGTGTGGTAGCAGCTTTAAAATCAACGTACAAAAGGGATAGATGAGTGCTGAGAAGGTTGGCATGAAGAGGTCCATACAGTCAATATATACAATGGGATCAAGCGTTGTTCTCCAATGCTGGACTCACTCAGTCAAGTCTGCTTGCCTTGCAGACCATCTCAGCAGAGTTTCGGCGCGATTTCAGTCTGAATCTCAGTGTACAAGTGGGATACCAGCAGTCAAACTCCGGCGACGACATACAGCGTCCGAATTGGTTGCATATCGCGCCCTTTGTGATGCTAGCCAGTCGCAGCCGCACTTTGCCCCTCTTCATTGATCCCACCGCCTTCGAGAAGGCGTCCACAGGGGTTGTGGAATTTAACCCTCCATCACGAGTACACCACACGTGTGTAGCTTTTGTCAATGCAGATTCGCCGCAACACGAGGTGTTGGCTCTCCTGCCAATCACGATTCAGTTACCCGCGGTGTAAGCTGCATTTTTGTTGAATTATCCTTCGCTGGCCCCTTTCATAATGACACGGAAGCATTAGCATTGTTATCAAAGGTTTATGCTGAATTCAAAACTAACATCTTCACGTTATCGTTTGTGCTATATGGTCAATTTTTTACCGCATAGATTAACTCCCTAGTAGAATTATGGGCAATTTTGTCTGAACATGAAGTTAGCATCATTCTAGCGCATTGGACTGCTGCCCATGTCTTGTAGAACACACTTTGACGTCGACAACGGGGTGTATAGCTTTAAACTGTGCGGCGACTTCTCCTACACCCAGAAGGTCTGTCGTTGGTTTGTTCGCATTCCTCGTGGCTCCACGGCTGGAGGTATGCTTTGCTTCTAACTCCATCCATCCTACTAATTGATCGTTTAGCTCTGTGATAGTTAAATATAAAGTATTTTAAATCAAAAGGTTGCATTGTAAGGGCTAGAATAAAATTTCAAGGAGACATGGTCTTCTACAATGCGTACTTAAGTGATCCGGAGATTCTGGCAACGACCAATGTTAAAATGTTAGCTAAATTTGAGAGCTTAGTACAAATCATTTTGCCCAAATTGTAGTCTTCCAAAGATGTGATCAAGAAAAGTTGCTTGAAGTTTTCTCATCTTCATAAATAACTTCGTTTGTTGAATTTTAAGACTAGGGGCCTTGGAGCCTAGCATGTCTACGCGTAAGAAATGCCTGGTCAAAAGTCAAATGATGAAGGATTCTTATCTGAATGCCGTTGATTTTCTCCAATCCTCTGTTTCATTTGGGTTTCCTCTGAGAACAGAAATCGTCCGATTTCGTGTTCGTTCACGGCCTATTCACCTGTCTGCCCAGCCTGATTTTAGCCCTCCAGCAAGGCGGCATTCACTGTTTCCTATTGACTCCAAACTGCGTGGCTCCTAAAACAACCATGATTACGAATCGACCGATCATTTGGTTTCTCTGTGAACCACTCTTCAATTCTTCGCCTTTTTTCTTACCCGAACCCGTCAGTTCTGCGACTTCGTCGCGTGGATTCTGATGGAGACGTTCCCTGTGCCTTCACCATCTCCATCGTACAACCAACGCCGCTGGGGAGCGTGCAAGGTACAGGCTACGAGGTGGTGCATCGGCGAATCAATCTCGTCAGTCGCACGGCCGGCGGCGTCGGTCTGACGGGGCGCAACGAGCCGCCATCCGCCTATGAGGCTGCCTCTGCCGACTTTGTCTTCGCTTTCGCCATAGAATGGGTGTGCGACTGTGTGGAGATCACTGTGGCCCAGCATCACGGCTGTGACACGCCCACCGCCTGTCGTATTAGTGGACGGTTGGAGTTTCATGGGCTGGAAGTAAGACCGGGGAAGCTTGTCTTTGTGAGTTGGGTGTGGTTATGCTGGTTATATGCTTGTGATTAATTTGTTTGACATTTCATGCCTGCCTTTCTCTTCGCGTACTTTTTTTTACATTCCATCCATTCATTACTTTATTCATTTATTTCTGTCTGTCCTTTATCCAACTCAGAACTCTATAAATTGATCAGCATTGGTGCACCTTTAGTTTCTCTGCAAGAAAAAATGGAATTCGCTCAAAACTCTCATTTTGTTGTCATAGGATACACCGAAAATTGCGAACTGCTTTCCCGTCCCAAACCTATTTGCTCGTATTTTTTCTTTTGTCCAGACGCAGCCATGTTCGAAGCATTTTATAAGATTTATTCTAAAATCTCGTGTCTCAAAAAGCAATCGTTTTAAATTCATTAAATGGGTGTAGTAGTTGGAGGAGCTTTCTTTATTTATTGTAATATCTAAATCGCAGTCACTACAATAACTTGCCTCGATACGCTCGCAGAAAATATCTTTTATGTGTAGGCCCATTGTGTTTCTTGTGAACTTGTCTTTTTTAAAATATCATGGTACTGGGAATAAAATTTTTCAAGCTATTTCTTCATAGACTATTGTCGAAGTGTTGGATTTCTTCTTTTTCACTTGAATTTCGTAAAGGTTTATTGGTTTGATAAACTATGGCAGTTCTAAAATTTGACAAGCACTTTAAAGGGGTATTTTCTTGAAAATAAATTTTACTTTCATTGAATTGTTTTGCGACATTTTAGCACTCCTGCCAAACTTACTTCCCCGTTTCTTTGCGCTCGAATTTCGGCCTTGAAAACATAAAATTCGACCTCGAGTCAAAATACTGGATACAGCCTGTCAGGTACGCTTCAGCCCGCAGTCGAAAACAGAATATAATCACTTCTGCCATATTTGCCTAGTCAATTTGTTTGAGTTCAGTACGTACACTTGAATCTGGAACTGGTGATGTGTGAACAGGGTCTTCGGGGATTTTGACGCTAATATATTTCTATTCTCGATTATATTTATTAACAAACCAATTCATCTAATCACCATTATGGTAGCTCCAATTTTTGTCTTTCTATGTTCTTTACCTTGTCAAAGGGACTATGTGTCAGAGTTGAAGAGTGGTGCCGTGCGGAAAGCATTCTGAAGTGCTTGACTGTAATTAAGGGGAGAGTTGATCCCTCTGTTAACATATTTTAAAGACGATGCGTCTTTTTTTTGGTCTCGTGTTTTAAAAGGAACTTTCATTGGATGGAAACAGCAAGTTGGAATTTAAGCAACCAATTCAAAGACCGGAACGTTACCTCGAAAGAGGAGACTACGCTTGACACGATAGTGAGGCCAAAGTTCTTATTAATGGGAAGAATAAGATAATCTGTCGAAAACAAAAATGACTGCGTTATCTGTCTTTTAGCATTCCTGACTAATCTTCTCTTTCGTATCCATTTAGATCCAATAACAACATAAATAGTGCTGTTTTAATCGTTTTCTACCATTATTTGAACTAGCCCTAGTCCTTCCATTAAGGTGATTTTGTTTATCCACTTGTTTCTGTGATGTTTAAGAAATTGGCAGTTTTGTGTGTACCTATTAGAGCATCAAGCACTTAAGCACCTCTAGCTTGTCCATGGCACAAAGACTAGTTTGATGTGCTTTTATCAAGCTTTAGCCAATTTTCTTGAGTATCCCTTAATAGTTGCTTCACCTAAGCTAGATACTCTGGTATAACATTCTTCCTGTCGATGATTTTGCTTAGCTTTGAGTATGCTTCATCACCAAGCACATGAATACGCTGATGAAGCCATTTAACAGTCAAGGGCATGTTGGAGGTACAAGGGATTTTTGGAAGAGGTGAGGACCATCCGCTCTTGATAAAAGTAGTAAGCCAAACAAGTTGACTGAAAGTGCTTCAATAGAGATTTAAGATCGCGAGGCTGATTTGAATTACCTCTTGAGGTCATAAATGTTCAGATTTCCACTAAAGAGGTTCTTTTTAGCGCGCTCTGCTTGGTAAATTAGGCGTTGATTTTAATTAAGAAATTGGCTCACTTCCAAGTACCTTTTGTTGATTGCTGCGTACAGTATGACCTCGTGGAAAACTCACAATGTAGTATTCTCGTAGTCTATAAATCACAGGAAGAAGGAAAGCAGGCGCGTTTTTGTGAACCACTTTGAAATGGAAAGATTTAGCAAAGGACATCTCATCTGGAGATGAGAGTTCAGTTCCATACCTATAAGTCAAAACTGGCCACCGATTGTTGCTTTCTCATTGTAGACCAGCATCATCCTCACGCTGCTACCGAAAGTTGGTCGCCTATGAGGAAGGCTCACTGGGCCTTCCAGGGGTTCACTGTCTCTCCCTCATCTACAACTTCGTCTGCGCAAGTCCCTTGTCTTCTCTCCACTGTTATTGGATGGATCTCTTGATTTTTATGTGGTTTTTATTCGCTGCAGCACTTCAAAACGGATGGCGCTGTCTTCGATTTTCGACGTCTCACCTCACTGCTCTACGAGGCGGATGTTGTGCAGGTTGTCTATCATCTCTATGACGGCTGTGGGCGCTTCAAGGGGGCTGGGTCCTATCAGTCGGTGAGCAGTCACCTAAATAATCTAATGCTGAGTTATTAAGTTGAAAACATTGGGAATGACTTATTTAACCTCTAAGCTATTTAGTGTTCTTCATTTTCGGAATTGATGTCGGTTACTTAACCCGTACTCTACCAACACTAAAACATTTGACGTGTTTTTTTACCAATTTTTAATAACACAACCACAGAAGTCTACGAATGACTTCATCATGATGCGTGTGGATGTGTAGCACCCAAATTATGAAGATGCTATAAGGTGCATGAGTTGAAAAGCAGTCTTACTAGAAGCATACAGAGGAGTTGGAAAACTGTTA